CAATTTTTAACAATTTTAAAATAATTTGAAATAAGTTATTGAAAAAGTTAAAATTTATAAAGATAAAAAATCAAACAAACAAGATATTAAATATTTACCTCGAGCTTCATTTATTGGTGTATAAAAATGGAATGGATTAATTCGAAGATTTCCTTGAGAAATTTCGAACATCTTAGATTCATTGATAATCGAAGATTTAAGCTGATTCTTGTTCCCTTTCCTTTTTTCCTTAAACTCCATCTGATGTATTGAAAAAAATTAATTTTATTCGCTCTTAAAACGATCTATTTTAGAAAGAAAACTTACAGATCCTTGCAATGCATTATTCTTCCCTAATCTATCTTCTTTACGTTCCATCCGTTTCGTTTGTGGTTGACCAGTTTGAGCAAGGAGCGCGCCTTCGGTGTTTTGCATCTAATAAAAATATATAAAATAAAATACGTAAGATCTAATCTACATCAGTTTTGCCATTAATCTTACCGAATTGGTGGACAATATCCGGAAACCGTGCGTTGCATCAGCGACGTACTCAACAGTCTGAATAACTCCTGCGTCATCGATGTAACTGTAAGCGCCTCGCGTCTCGCCGTTCAACGTTCTGATTTCCGACCTCGCAGAGTACGGGCCACTGTAACCAAAACTGTACTGGCCGAAACTGTCCTGGTACGTGAGGGCCGGTGCAGCCAGCCGGGCCGAACAGGAAGAAATGAAGCAGTAAGAAAAAAATAGGACCTGTAAATAAGGACACTCGTGGTTAATTTTGATAATTTTACAAAGAGCGATGATCGATCGGTAATGTTGCTCGATTAATCTTAAATTAGTATCGTTAAGTTTTAGCAGTTGAATTACATTAAAAATTAACAATCGAGTATTTCATCTTATTTGGAGAATATTTATTAATTGTTTATCGTAGTTTTCTAAATAACTGTTAAAATAAAATTGTTGGGAGTTTTGAAGTTTTTTTACGAAAGGTAAGAAGATTAATATTAGAAGAAAAGGCAGCCATGAAAAATCGCTTAAGTTATTTCTTGAATTGAATTATTATTTTTATTATTTATTATTTATTATTTATTAATTATTATTTATTGAATTGAATTGAGTTATTTATTTAATTAACGTATCTTGAAGGATGACAAACAAAATTCAATATCATCAGATTAGATAGTATGTATTGAGTTATTACGATCTGTCAAATTGTAATTTATAGTTCGTCTCTTAGATTACAATTTCAAAACTCAACAACCTGTAAAATTCCAGATAATCAATATTTACTTGTAAATTTCAAATGTTATTTCTGTTATTTCTTTCATTTCAGATTATCATATAAAGAATTGATGATATTTCGTCGATTGCTAAAATCCATTTTATTATATGAAACACAAAATCTAATAGAAATGAAAAAGGAATAAACTTTCATAACAATCCCCCATCGACTCCACTATCAATTTCTAAGACATTCGACAAAACTCTTAAATCTAACCAAGGAACAAAGATCTTTCCAACGAAGCAAAAGCTTGAGAGACACTGCTCCATCCCCCATGATACCAGACCATTTCACCCATATCTATCTACGTCCAGAGAAGTCTGAAGCAACTCCATTCCATTCACCCACGCGACCACACTTATTTCTTACGTGTACGCTCTTCATGGTGATTCGATTCGATATCTTGTAAATTCCAGCCACGTATTGCCCACTTTATATAGAAAGCACGCAAGCCAGGAGGGTGTTAGCCTGATCGCGGAAACACGAGGATCAAAGGTGCAACGAAACTGGTCAAGCTTGTGCTCAAGGACTCACTCGGTTGGAATCCGGCTCTGGAACATTTTCACCGGGCCTTTTTTCAGCTCCTCGAAACCTGAACACCCTGCCATATCCTAATATGTACGGCTCTTCAGGGCCGTCTTTGCACAAACATCCGCCTGCGCTCGAACGAATATTCCCATTTTCTATGGTAATCTATGAGCCATGTATTTTTATCGTGACTCTAGCTATATAGAGGAATGCACACGGTTTGTTGTGAGGAAGAATTTGAAAGACCGTTTAAAAGAAGATGTGGCTGTGGAGCAGGATATTTATTAGCGTGTTAGAGTGTGAAGTTGAATGGCTGGATTGAAATTCTGTTCGGGGGCAATATATGTTGAGGTTAGGAAATTTTTTGCGAGGAAAGATGGCGTTGAATGGGTGATAGAGATTTAACGAAACTTTCAGAGTATTTTGAATTTCGATGAATTAAATTTTGTAGGCAATAACAAATGATATCATTATTATTATTTTCTGCTCTTATATATTATATCCGTGAAAGGCAAAATTCGGTTAATAAGATTCGTGGCTGATGTCTCAAGAAAAAAGTTAAAATGAAGTGTAATAGTGTCGTTGTTGAAACAGTAATTTCGTGCTAATATATAAGAAAATTCAGAAAATTGCATCTCGTTAACGGTTCTAAATACATTTTTCAATAAATGATCTCTCGTTTACAAATAATTATGTTAATACATTATTTTATATAGTGTTTCATAGTAATAAGTACTAAACTAATAACTACTAAAATTGTAATTAATTTTAAAAGCTTACTATTAATTTATAAAATTGATAAAATTTGCGCAATCATAATAATTACTTTATTTATTATTTTAAATATTATTTTGTAGGAAGTCAACGCCATTGTTGCATCTGTGTACGAATCTTCCGTTTTGTAATCATTTGTCAGGCTATTTGCATACGATCCTCGACCCAAATTCAATGCAATCGATTCTAAAATTGCCGCGATATTAATATGTATCAATTCCCTTAGACTACCGTGTCAAAGTGAAACTGAAGCTTCGTAATTTTTTTTTTTTTTTTTTTTGTCAAACAAATCGTTATTATTGCTAGTTGAAAGGTAAGATATTCTTCTGTCTGGTGATACAATTACCATTAATTTATTGGTTTCAGAAGTATTTTGTAATAAAATTTTATAATAAGTATTTCTCTCTCTCTCTCTATCTATCTATCTATATATATTGTTCTCAATTTCTTTTGTAATAATTATTCATTTTTCGATTCGTTTATGAAAAATTATTCATCAATAACAACAAGATAATTTCTTCAAAATTCACTTTATTAAACCAGTCTACAATCATCGTTCGCTTCTACATGGCAGTTTCAACAACTTTATCATCCCTTCAAAAAAAAAAATGTCGAAATTAAAAGGATCATAAAAAGGATAGAAAGCAACGATCAAAATGATTAATTTGCTTCATTTCTCGTAGTCCATTTTTTTTCTTTTTTTTTTGCTCTTATATATTATATCCGTGAAAGGCAAAATTCGGTTAATAAGATTCGTGGCTGATGTCTCAAGAAAAAAGTTAAAATGAAGTGTAATAGTGTCGTTGTTGAAACAGTAATTTCATGCTAATATATAAGAAAATTCAGAAAATTGCATCTCGTTAACGGTTCTAAATACATTTTTCAATAAATGATCTCTCGTTTACAAATAATTATGTTAATACATTATTTTATATAGTGTTTCATAGTAATAAGTACTAAACTAATAACTACTAAAATTGTAATTAATTTTAAAAGCTTACTATTAATTTATAAAATTGATAAAATTTGCGCAATCATAATAATTACTTTATTTATTATTTTAAATATTATTTTGTAGGAAGTCAACGCCATTGTTGCATCTGTGTACGAATCTTCCGTTTTGTAATCATTTGTCAGGCTATTTGCATACGATCCTCGACCCAAATTCAATGCAATCGATTCTAAAATTGCCGCGATATTAATATGTATCAATTCCCTTAGACTACCGTGTCAAAGTGAAACTGAAGCTCGAATTTTTTTTTTTTTTTTTTTGTCTAAACAAATCGTTATTATTGCTAGTTGAAAGGTAAGATATTCTTCTGTCTGGTGATACAATTACCATTAATTTATTGGTTTCAGAAGTATTTTGTAATAAAATTTTATAATAAGTATTTCTCTCTCTCTCTCTATCTATCTATCTATATATATTGTTCTCAATTTCTTTTGTAATAATTATTCATTTTTCGATTCGTTTATGAAAAATTATTCATCAATAACAACAAGATAATTTCTTCAAAATTCACTTTATTAAACCAGTCTACAATCATCGTTCGCTTCTACATGGCAGTTTCAACAACTTTATCATCCCTTCAAAAAAAAAAATGTCGAAATTAAAAGGATCATAAAAAGGATAGAAAGCAACGATCAAAATGATTAATTTGCTTCATTTCTCGTAGTCCTATTTTTTCTTTTTTTTTTTTTTTTTTTTTTTACTTTCGAATCTGATAATTAAATCTGATAATAAATCAAAAACAGAAGCTGGCCAATCGAATGATTAGAAGAAAAAAAAAGATACATCTTGTTCGAGAGAACACCGAAAATCGTTCCCCATCCATGGCCCACGTTCCCCTCCCTACGAGCAACTAATAAAGTATCGACTAATTAATCACGAATGATCCTTCGTTTATTTTTAATTAACACGTTCACTGCGATGATCAAATCCTCGGTACCTACATATAATCTAACGCCCTAAACACGAATAATTTTCATACAAAAGCTATTTCTACGTCGCAAAAACTTTACACGTATATATATGGATCACTACTTAATATGGATTATTATGAAAGCTTTTCCTGCCTTTTTTTTCCGACAAAATTTCGTCACTCCCCGTATGATAAAAGTATGCGTGCCGACTCGAATAGAAAGACGCAAGCGGTGAACGTGTCAGAAACGATATCAGTTAATTAATAGACGAGCCGACCATAGGCGAGCGCGGGGCCAGCAACAGCAAGGACGTCGGCAGACTTGGCTGCCTCGTTGGCCAGGTTCAGTTTCTCGTTCAGATGAGCGTTCGCGTGGGCTGCTTTCGCCACAGCCACCTCCTGGGTGTCTTGCACCCTGCCGTCAGGGCCGATGGGCGCAGCTGGGACCACCACAGCGTTGCTGGCCACAAGGGGAACCGCCACTGCTGGGGCAGCCGTCACTATCGTCCCCGATGATCTGGCCGCCTCGTTGGCCAGGTTGATCCTCTCGTTGAATTGGGCCGCCGCGTGAGCCGCCTTCGCCGCCGCCACTTCCGGTGTGTCCTGCACTCTTCCATCAGGGCCTACCGTCGCCGCCTGGATCACCGCCGGAGTTACTATTCCGTTGGTGACCAGCGGTACCAGCGGTCTAAAAATGATTCTTACATTTTAACCATTAATCGATCCTGGGAATCTGAGATTAACAACCGACCGATAAATCGGCGAAAAGCTTCTATTTCGCTCGGAAAAAGGGAAGGAAAAGAGAATCACCTGTTCAGATCCGCAGCGACAGACCTGGCAGCCTCGTTCGCCAAATTGAGCCTCTCGTTCGCCTGAGCCGCGGCATGAGCCGCCTTTGCTACGGCGACTTCAGGCGTGTCGACCACCCTGCCGTCGGGGCCGAGGGGCGCCCCGGGTACCAAAACGCTCGGAGCGGCTACCAAGAGGGAAGACTGTTTGAGAGTGACTGTCGCCTGGGATGATGGGCCACCTGCGGATCTGGCTGCCTCGTCGGCCAGCTTCAATCTCTCGTTCAGATGGGCTGCCGCGTGTTCCGCCTTGGCGACCGCCACTTCCGGCGTGTCCAGCACTCGGCCATCGGGCCCAACAGGCGCGGCAGGGGTTAAAGTGGCGATCAGGGGCCCGGACAGGATCCCCGGCTTGGCGAGGGCCGTGGAGACCAGGCCTGCCAACAGTAAACCGGCAACCGGCCCCATGACGACGGTCGTTCGAGACGTTGTTTAGACGCTGTTCTGAGGCTTCCTGCCCGATTTTCTGAGGAGGGATCGTCGACGTGATCTCGCTCGGAGGATCGTTGGACGCGCTCGAGACTATGAGACGCGTCGTCCTAGACCGGCTTTTATAGCCGTTCTAGATCACGCATGCAGGCTGGTGGTAACAAGACGTAAGATCACGTAACTAGCTAGTGGATCCAGGGCGGATTTTTCGCGACGGTGGGCCTGGGACAGACCCGCGTTTCCGTTCTCCCTGGGGGCAAGGTAAGCGTGTTTGTAAAACGAGTAGAGGCAGGCTCTGCGGGTGTCAACGTAGCCGAGGAAAAATGGAGCCACCACGGGGGCTCTCCATTTTCGTGGCTCTCTCTCACCGGCGCACGGGAAGACACCCGATCCCGTTGTCATTTCTCTAGCCAGCCTGGCCATGGATACCAAGGGCGATGCCGGCGAAGGCCGACGATCGCGTAACCGTTCGTCGCCTCGGTCTGCAGCCGATAAGCTGTTGGATCACGTAGCACGATTTTTTACCGACGTCCCATTCGCTATACGATGATTTTGGATTGGATTTGGGTTAGGTGTCGCGTGATTTCTTTAGGTATCGAGTGGAGGGGTTGGATATTGGTATTGGTAAGTGGGTTGGGCGTATCTTGGTGTACATTTCATTGTTATTATTATTGTTATTATTATTATTTTATTTTATTATTTAGTCTTATTATTGTTGGATTGTTAGCGTTATTGTTGAGGTTTATTTGACAGTGGTGTTAGTTAAAATTTGGAGAATTTGGTTGGTTTCCTTAAGTGAAATGGTGATCGTAATTAAATTTCCTTCAAAAAAAATATAAAATTTATTATATATATATATATACGTTGCAACGAACAATGATTATTGGTATCTTTTTTTCCATTGTGGAATGTAAATTAATATGTTCGATGTTTGTAGTAATTTAACTATCACCTTCTGTAAGTAAATTAATATTGTTAGAATAATGAAAGTATAACGTAGCGGTATTAAAAGGTAACATATAATAAAATGGAACTGTAATACTATAGCACTGGCGTGATATTACCATATTATTGTTGCATAAATATTAATTCTAGAAACCGGTATGTATTTTAATTTATAGTTAAATTAAAAATAAATTCTATCCAATAAAAAGAATTTTAAAATCGATAAATGACAATTTTTTTATTTTATTCAATTTCAAATTCGACGTAATATTTCATAAATTACAAATTAACGAACAATTTTTTAAAATTAATGAAAAACAAATTTTCAACTAAATGAGAAAATACAAAATTTCGAACATTCAAAAATTCGAAAATTTCGAAAATTCAAAATTTCTCAACACATGTTCGTGATATATTTTACATGATGATCTATCCTTCAAACTTTTATCAAAAATATGAAACAAAATTTTTTATTGTTCTTTGCATCGTTTAATTTCTTATTAATCCAATTCCAATAATCTCCTATTACATCGTTCTAAAAAAAAAAAAAAAGAAAAGAAAAGAATCAAACGAATATCTATAAAATTGATAAACAAGAATTCAATCGTTCCGATCTCGTTAATTTAAATAAAAATCTCAAGATTTCCCTTTTAAATGGAAATAAAAACTCAATCCACCTTTGAGGTCTATTTTGAGAAAGTTCGAGGTCGTCGAAATCGTCGATCTCGTAACAATCGCGCGAAAAGTTCTTCCGGAGAAGAAAAAAAGCGGCAAAAAAAAGAAAGAAAAGAAGAAGAGAAAGAGAAAAAGAATCGAAGATCGTTTTCGAAAATGTATCGTGGATTGGGGAAAGACGAATTCCGACAGGGCAATTCGATTGGACCGAATGTCAATGTCAGGTGTGGTTAATTTTATTGGACATAGGGCGTTTCTTATTCGCGCGTTCTCCCATCGATGGACGCGTGCCCCATGGAGCGAAACCTTTTCTCCCAGGTGCTATATAAAGGCCAGGGGACGAAGTGGACACCATGAGACCGACCCAAGGTACCTTGGCGAGTACTGTACGCTCAGATAGCGCGCAAGGAGCCACAAGTTTGTCCACAAGATGAAATTTCTCGTGAGTATTTATCGCTTGCCCAAACAGTTTGATTTTATCGGTTCTCTGTCTCTTCCAATATCAGTCTTGGTAATGTGCACGGAAAATAAGAGAAGGATAGTGAAAATTTAATTCTGCTTTGCGTCTAAATTGTATTTGTTTTTCGTTACATTGTATAATGATATTTTGCACTTATAAAATTAATAAATCTCCAAATTCCAATTTTTCAAAAAAAAAAAATGATACTCTTATTGTTTCAATTTAAAATATATATCACAATTTTTTACACGTACTAAATTTTTTATTTTAGAAAGTATAAAATTTATTAATCTTTAGCAATAATTTGGAGAATGATTATGGTTAATACAATAATTATTATTTTTTTTTTAATACACTTAAATAGTTCATAGTGCTTTTATCTCATAAATAAAACTAAAAATTTGGAAAATTTAAAATAAAACTATAGAACTTGGAACACACAATTTTATTTTACAATTGCTATTATTTATTTAATTTTCGTAAATAGTACCATCAATTTCACAACCCAATATCGATTTCCTTAAAAGTTTAACGTGCTTACGGATTAAAAAAAAGTCTTCAATCTTTTTCAAACTTTCAGATCATTCTCTCCGCTCTGGTAGCAGCAGCGTCTGCCAGGCCAGGCTTACTAGTAGCGCCGCAGGTGGCAGCACTTGCGACGCCCTTAACCATCACGAAACTAGTACCTGGCGCGCCCATAGGGCTCGATGGCCGAGTCGTGGACACCCCGGAAGTAGCCCTGGCAAAGGCGGAACACGCGGCAGCCCACATCAACGAGAGAATCAATTTGGCGCAAGAGTCGCTGAAATCAGCTGATGCGATCGCCATTACGGGGCCTCTGGTCGCCAGCAGCGTGGAGCCCATCGCAGTAGCGGCCAAAATCGTGCCTGCAGCTCCTCTCGGGCCCGATGGCCGTGTCGTGGACACGCCTGAAGTGGCTCTGGCCAAGGTGGAGCACGCTGCCGCTCACATAAATCAGAAGATCGAGCAAGCTGTCGAGCAAAGACAATCCTCCTCTTTGGAGATTCCTCTCGTTCTGTCCACGTATTCAGGACCCGTGATCCAGAAGGTTTTACTTAACGGGCTTTAAAAACACGATGATTTAAAAGCGAAAGTTTTTACATTACTGAAGATGATAACTGTTCGACGACTGTTTGTTACATGAATACTCGTTTTTTTGTACATAATTGTGGGCCGATTGAATAAAACGTTTTTGAACTATTACTACTAATTGAAAATTGATTCGATTATTTTTGCAGACTATTTACTTTTTTCCTTGCCTTGTTTTTTTTTTTTTTTTTTGGTGGCAGCTTAGAAACGATTGGTTTTTTGTCATGAAATTAATGGAATATAATTATTGCATACACTATCATAGAATGGTTAATTTTATTAATTATTTTATACATCTGTTATTAAATTTATATCTTTTTAAATATTCTTCTATTTCTACATCGTGCCTTGTTCGTCCAATAAGAATGATATTTCTCTTAATTTTTAGAAAATATGATAGCAGTTGGAATTAAGAACACAAAAATAGAAGAGTAAAAGGCAGAATAGGTGGTGGGGATATTCATTGATAAAATTAAGAGCGCTTTCGATACCCTTAGTCAGTTCGCTGCTAACTTCCATGGAGGCAAGACGTTTGCTAAGATTTTGAATGAACGATCGAAATATATTTTTATTCATGAAATTTTTAAGATAATGAATTTTTTTTTAATAATTAAATTTAATAAAACAAATATTATACAACTAATCGAGATAATTGAATACAATAATACAATAATGATAGAACTATTAGTATAAATCTAAGCATATTAGAGTTAATGTAGAATATATTTTATATTCTTTTAATCCTATGCTACTTTTTGTGAACAGTTTCAATTCATACATTCATCTTTTCGATCGATAGAGATCTTGTAAGTATTTTAATACTTCGTGGTGTAAGAATTTGTATTGAAAAGAATCTCTATAAAGAAAGGGAAAGCAAAAAAATTATAGAGAAAAAGAGACATTTATTTTTAATCAATAACAAATAACAAATAATACTAGAGAATCATTATTCTCTTTCATTTCATAAAAATTACCAATAATTCTCATACGTTCGTTCAATTTATTGAAGGAATAGCAATTTACTGAAGGATAAGCAAAATTGCAGAGTTGCATATAAATATTCAATACATTTTGCATCTTTCGTTTGGGAACCGCTGCTTCAAGCCATTCTTTCCTCAGGATATCGAAGAATATGAGACAGTCAAGGTCGCTGTTCGAGCCTTTTCCTGCGCCCACGAAGAGTATATTGTACGTGTACTTGCAAGACGTAGAAATAAATTTGAACACTATTTCTCAACGACTATAACGCCGACGTACAAGCGTTACAATATTTGCTTTTCTGTTTCGATTCGTTCAAAAATCTTTTTTACATACGAAACGAAGGAAAAATGATTGATTAATTGAAAAAATTCAATACGTTATATTACACTAATTATTCTACTTTACACTAATACTATTGCTCGATATAAAAATTGTTTTTTTTTTATTTTCATTATGAAAGCAATCAATATTTCTGGAGATAAATATATGATGAATTTTCAGTAACAATGAACCTCGCAGGAAGTTCAGTGTCCTTCGAACAGCGCTCGAATCAAAGTCACGAAATTCAGATATTCACGGTCAACGAGTTTGTTCGTCGATAATGGAGCATGTCTCTGAAAAGAGATTATTAAATCTTGTCTCGATCGAAAAAAAAAAAGAAGCAGATTATGGGCCGATTCGTAATAAAATTTTTCTAGCATTTTATAAATATTTTCGTCAGTTGAAAAAATTTAAAAATCGCAAAAGAAAATCTAAAGATTAAGAATTATTGTAATTTTAAGAGTTTTGATTGTAACACAATTTTTCAATTATTGTAACATATTCGTTAATTGATTTCAATTTTATTTTAGTTTCTTTTTGTTTAGCAAAATTTATTTTTAAACAAAATATAATTATGAAAATAGTTGAGAGGAAAGGAATAAAGTGATTCACTTTTTTTTTTAGAAGCATAATGTATTCTTAACGACGTCTAATTAAGCAAAAATGTGTCAGAGGTAACAGAACTAAATTAAATAGATGATCTTAATGAGATCTAGATTAATCAAGTCGTAAATCAATTGTTGTAGCATTGTTTTTATCATGGAAGAAATTTATACTTAATGCTCTATAAAATTCAGGATAAAAATTATTATATTATATACACATTCTTTTATTCCTTTGTTAAAATTTTATTATTTAATTTGTTGAATAAAATTTCAATTTTAATAACTTTTTCTAAAAATATTTGAAAAATTTTTATTTATCTCTGACTAATGTTGGCAATAAAAATAAAAAAATTCCATAAACGAGAACTTCGATTTAAAAAATGTATCACACTTACAAAAGTATATTAATTAAGAATTTAATTGTTACCATTTGGAAATATTTATGAACCTTTTTTATAGACCTTGATTAAGGTAAAGTATCTCCACGATCTTCGATCATTCTCTTTCTTTTCTTTCTTTTCTCCTTAACCTTCTATCCTTTTCAGAATTCCTCTTGATGTTATCTAATCTTCGATACACCTTTGTGACGAAACGTTTTTTTCAACGATGGCCATATTGCAGTGACTGAAAAACCTTAAACGATATTGGCGCAATATAAAAGGGTTTCCTTCGATCGAATCGAAAAAAAAAGAAAAAAAAGAAAAGAAACATGGCCAGCTTTCTAATATTATTCGTATGCAGTTACAAAATCGTTTTTACGATTGTTATTTCGCCAATCGAAAATTGTCTTGGACGATTGCGACACATAAATATTTCCCAATTACACATGCAATAGGGTGACAAAACAATCCTTGCAGTTCTTTATTCATATTCGATACTTATTTTATTCATTTCTTTCAATGTTTTAATATTGTTGATTTATTTGGATATCAGTAATTTTATAACTTAATAACATTTTTCTTTAATTCATTAGAATATTTAAAAGTTATACAAATTTTGCTCCGTTATAGAATTTATTTGTTAAACGAATTCTGATTCATAATTATTAAAGTTAATAAATTTTTAATTGAAAGTTGTCGAATAAATTACGATTGATAGTGACTACTATTTTTACTTATTAATCACGATATCACGAAAGATTAATATATTTCTTTTTTATTTGTTATAATTGACGAATTTTAAATAATCGATGATTTATTTCGTATGCTTTGATACCTTTCAAAACAATTAAGATAACGATAATGAATGTGATCAAATTCAAAACCTAATTAAAAATTTATGATTACATGGACTTTCTATTAAGCTGTTGTGTTAATTTCTATAAAATTTTAGATATTGTGCAAAATCATAATTTTTTATATTCTCTAAAACGAAATATGAAATTAGAAAAATTTAAATGCATTGAAGGTGAATATTGAAAATGTTAATTAAAAATTGGCAATTAAAAGTTTTAAACGAATTCGTTGACTCGAGATTCGAGCAATCATTTCATCGATATTAACACTTGAATCACATAAATCGCATTAACATTCTCGCTAATTCGTATTAATGAATTGCAACACCTCTTTCATACGATAAGGATAAAACACCTTTTTCATACGAACCAATTTATTTGATCGAGCGATCCGAGTTCGTATAGCACAAGTTTGCACGATGGAAAAAATATCGAAGGAATGCATTCTTGTTGCAGACTGTCCTTCGTTCTCGAGTCCTTCGTTCGTTCAGGGTTGGTAAGTCGTTTAACACTTGCATGGACGGCTTTGTTTAAAGGACAGCAAAGTACTGGCGAAAGGAGAAATAAAATAAAAGGGAGTGTGATGAAAATTTTTACTTTTATATTAAATAAATCGTGGCTCGATGGAGCAAACGATAAGAAAGGATTATATATTTTATTCTCTATAAAGAATAATAATAAAAACTTGTAAATTGTAATAATCGATTAAAGAAAAAAAGATGTATAAAATTTTTAACATGTAGAAAAAATACAATTGCAAATTTTGTGCATTATTTTAAAATGAAGACGTCCTCCTTAGATTTTAAATGTTACATAACAATATGACAATTATAAATTACATTATCCACGCGATGTAATTATGCAAATACAAATATTAGATAAATTTTACAATTATTCAAAGGAAGAATGGTAGAAAAGAAAAATTATAACATTGAACGTCTTCTCAGATTATTTCCCATGTGCAATTATAGGGAAAAGTCTCTCTCGGATGTAACTTCCTCCGTCACGTGATGTAATCCATTTCTCACGTGACGATCTCATTAGTGATCTTTCTCACTGCGTTTTGCTCACAAACAATTGGATGACAACAAACAAATATATCTCCCAATTTAAAATCATACAACTTCTCAAAATATTTTTACGACTTTTCGAAACTCCGCTCCAACTTTTCTTACATTAATGGTTAAGATAACTCGTTTCATTCTCCAATTATACTTCCATCTTTCTTCCTCCAAACACCTTTCATCCAACAACCCCCCACTGATCTTTAAACTTCACATTAATTCCACGCCCATAAATAATTTCGCTAATAATTCTTCGATTTTTTCCCCGCCTACAAAACACAATTCCACGCAATTCCTTCATGACTAACGCGCAACTCCTAATCGCAACGATTCGATCTCCATTACCATCTCCGCCACGATCCAATTCCTTTCCTCTATTCCGAACACCATAACGATCCTTTCGATTTCCCTCCCTTCGCGCCATCGGACCCGAGCCAACCCTTCCTCGCAACCGATCGCAGCCCCTCCAGTCCCATCCTTCCGGTCCAGGAGTGCATGGACCCCGTTGAAATGCCAAGGTCCTGGCGCGAAGCAGCCGAAAGGGGGGAGTATCCTTTTTCCTGGCGCGCTTCCCAGGCTACGTGGGCTAACCGATCACCCGGCTCCTTCCAGGTCGTGGTCCACGTGGGAGGGGGCGGATGATCACCGCTATAAATGCTACCAACAGCCGTTCTCCAGGAACACAAAACGCCGGGCCGGGTAGCGTGGAGAGCTGGAGCGAGTACTGGCCACCAGCAGCGCTTTTCGAAAAGGGGAGACACCGCTCCGGGGGAAGGAAAAGAAAAAAAAAGAAAGAAAGAAGAAGAAAGAGACGAGAAAGGATCGAGAGAAAGGAGCGAAGCCATGAGGGGATTGGTGAGTGATTTTCCTGCTTGTGGATGGATGGACGAGTGGCGGGCAAAGGAAAGTGAAAGGTTTCGGGTAAGGTTTAGGTTGGCCGACCGCGTTAAAAGACGCAGGATGATGTTCGAGGATGTTGTTCGGAGAGATTGTTCGATTTAACGATTTAAAGAGACACCGAACTCAATACTTTGATAAATATCACGATATAACTTTGTCGATGTCAATAATAAGCCTGGATGAGGATGTTGTTCAGAGAGATTGTTAACTTTGTTAATAACACAAGTCTCGATTTTATTCGTTTCCACAGATCGTTTTCATCGCGACGGTAGCCAGCTGCAGGGCCGGTTTCCTCGGCTCGCCCTCGTTCGGCGAGCCCCAGGTGCACCCCCAACCGGCGCCCCAGAGGTTCGCGCCCCCGGCACCGGTCGGCCAGGACGGGAACGTGATCGATACCCCGGAAGTTGCGCAAGCGAAGGCTGCCCACTTCGCGGAATTCGCGAGGGCCGCGGCCAGGGCCGCCGAGGAGAGCAAGAATCAGCCCCAATCGGTCGAGTACAACCCCCAACCCTACAACTTCCCCTCCCCCCAGCCCCCCGCTTACGTCAGGCAGCAAGCGTATCAGTCGCCCGCGCCGATCTACCAATCTCCAGGTCCAGGTAAATTTTTGTCATTGCATTTTCTTGTCTTTGCACAGCACTCCTCTTGATCGTTCGTTCGTTTCCTCTTGATTTCGAGAGTTTCATTTTCGAGATGGAGTTGGAATTGAAACGAGATTATGGAAAAAATTGCAGCACCAGCGGCAACGTATAATCAAGCGAATCCTGTGTCGGGTTATCAGCCGCAGTACACGGGAAATACGAACTTTGTCGGGCAGCAAAGTTTCGCCGCCAACGTGAAACCCACCCCTTTCGTGCCTGCGCCCCTCGCCGAGGATGGGACTGTAATCGATACGCCGGAAGTGGCCGCGCTTAAGGCCGCCAGGTTGGCGGAATTGGCCGAGGCCGAAGCGAGGGCATATAAGTTTGCACAGGAATACAAACCGGAAGTCCAAGGCCAAGGTACGTTCGCAAAACGAGATTACGAGTAATGATGTAATCACTTTCGTAAGATGCGACAGTCGTTTGTTTCAATTTTTAATCTCGTCGAATGTTTTAAAAACGAACTCTTTTTGTTCGTATGTTGCGGGATAATAATAGTTTTTAAAATTCCTTTTCC